GATCCTACTCCTGGTAACGAGGATCGCCATACCAGCAAGCGTGAAGCTCCTCAGAAACAGATTAGTGTAAGAAACATCTTTTCAACGCATAGTCACAAGGATCACAGTGAGGATGAACATCAACATGAAGAGGTGAGTATAAACCAGAACTGGTATGCATACAATTATTGTGACACCATAAGAAGAGTAGTACTCACAGACAAAACTAGTACTAATAAATGGGTATGACTGTTACTTAGATTGTGTATAACAGTATAAAAGCACTAAGAAGCTTACTATTACAGTTTTAGCTCAACTGCATGATTTTCCATCCCCTGTTTTGTCTTTACTCTATCTCCTCTGTCTCCACATTTATGAGTTGCTTCAAATATCCTAAATCTTCATGCTAAGTATGTTGCATTTCATATATTAAGAATTATTTTTTCTTATACAGATTTCATAAATATCATTTTACATCTCTTCCTAAATCTCTTACATCTTTAATGATTTTCAAAAACCTTTTTGACATAGATGCTTTTCAATCTCTCCTCAACATGTCCCCAATTTCAATCTTTATGGTCCTAAACTATGAGGATGAAGTGAAGTAGATGTATCACTAAATAAAGTCTAGCTTCTATACTATATACTGTATAATTGTCTCTTCATACTCCTTCCCATTTTCATTTTTGCTTCTTTACCTTTCTCCAAAGGCCATTATCTCTTCATTCCCATTAATCCTCGATGTTAATCTTTCTCCTTTAACTCTCAAAAAAAGGACTGTGTGTTTTATTGATTTAAAGTACTAAACAGAAAAATGCAGTATGGACTACATAATCAATTTTAGGATTACATTTAAAGTGAAAACATCAAACGTGCAGCAGGGAGTTGAGAAATGATGGGATTCTTATTTCAGGGTTATGCTCTCTTCCCCATGGCAGGCATTGTTTGTACTGCTGCTTTTCATTGATCTTCCCAGGTAATTGAAAAATCACATTTATTTTCAGAGACATTAAGTACTACTGAACATTGGAGGCTGTATATTATGTATAGTTTCACAGCCTCTTTTTTATTTTTTTCCTCTTGGTTTAGTATACACCTGTGTTTCAAAGGTGACATGTTATTGGTCAACATTTCTCCCTTTTCTGTGCAAACCTTCAGAATGAATTTCTAAGCAGCAAACAAACTCTTTAATTTTCTACAGCTGCATATTCTTTAGTGAAATCACTACAACATGTTTAATTTGTTGCATAAATTGCTTTCAGTGTTTAAATGTCACTCAACTACTGCGGTACTATGGTCTTGGAACCAACTCTCCAATATCTCCTGACTTGTTTACGTACCTGTGCCCTGCATTGCTGTATCAGATTGACAGAAGACTTTGTATTGAGCATTATGATAATTTGCTGGTTGAAGACTTGAAGAAAGATAAAAGTGAAGCAGCTACAAATAAAGATAAAATAGGTGCATCAGGTAAGATAGTATCCATATGCTCTTAGAGAATGTTTTGACTCTGTTATTTATTTGATTTGTATTATTGTAGTGCCTACAAGCCCCGGTCATGGACCAGGACCCCATTGTGCTAAGTGCTATACAAACTCAGAAAAAAGATAAATCCGTACATAGGGAATCCAATGTTTTGTTTTGTTTTAATTAGTGTTTTATTTTATTTGAATATTAATTCATTTGACTTAAGGTAGCTTTCACAGTAAAAGAATGGTTGAAACTTGTCAACTGATCTTGTTTTGTAAATTAAAATTGAGATAAATACACTCTCAGACTTAGGGGAAGTAGCAGTTGAGAGGAAATGTGGCTGGAGTGCAGCTGTGTTCACTTGCTGCCATGATAAAGCTCTTCCCCTCCCCCCCTTCCCAATATACCCTCATATCTGGGCATGAGGGTGTCTAGGGCACATGTGCGGTCTGGTGGACACTGCTGATGGGAAAATCTCTGATCAGTAGCGTACAGGCGTATGCACACCCTGATGTGGTGCACGCATAGGGGAACACATCTCAAAGAACTCCAGGTACTGTACAAGAAAAGTAACCTCTCCTTCCACTTCAGTTCTAGTATTGATCTTATTTCGCAAAATCAACAATTTTGGTGTAGCAAGCTAAGAGAATTTAATTGATGGTTTTTGGTTACAGTTTATGCTTCTGTGATTTAATATCATTTCATAGTATCAAAATAAAATGTTTTTCATTTCATTTCACTGCTGCTGTTTTTGTAATACATGTTAGAGAATTCCCCAATGAGATTCCTCAAAGGCATTTTTTTTTTTAAATTCTTCTTCATTTTACCTTGAGAAAAAAACAGTATAGGCTTTTCTTCCCTTGTTTTTGAAGTTAAGCTAAGTAGCCTTTTTCTAATGGTTTTAAAACTTAAATACTTTAAAGTTGTAATCTGTTGTTTTGATGTCCTAACAAGGATTGTCTTTTTAATTAGGGTTTACTGTGGCCATTACCCATATAGTCTAATGGAACTGTAGTATCTCTAGTAGGCATAATTATCACCTAAAAAAAAATTGGGGGAAATTGCCTTTGTTTTGAAAATAAAGATGTTGTCAGTCACAGGGTCTGGGCTACAGACATGCCAGATCTTGCAAATTGAACACGAGTTGCAATTTCTGTGTAAAATTAAGCCTCACTCATGATCTTGCGATAGAAGCCTCAAATGTCAGAATTAAATCCTAACATTTGAGAATGAGGCTTAATTTTACTTAGAAGTACTGTCAGCCGCCCAGAACACGGTAGCCATTTTATTAGTCACCTGGCCACAGAATCTGAAAGTCCTTAGGTTGGCACAGAGAGGCAAAAGTTAAGCTATAGTCCATCCTGGCCAAGCCAGTGCCGTGGTGACCCAGCCAACCTGTAATGGACTCCATTCCTGGCTCTCTCCCTGTGTCTCCCTTTGTCATCACCAGTCTGTGTCACTGAGTCCTCCAAAAGGACTACCCTTCTTCCAGTCACCTGATGCCTTGTTCTCTAGCTCAGTTCGCATGTCCCGCCTGCTGGGGTTTCCTCTTTTTAGGTGTTCATTGTTCAGTCCTTGGGGCTTCCCTTTGTCATGCTGGACTCTGTTGATTTGGGTTGGTTTGAGCCATTTCTTTACTGACTCTATTCATTCCGCCCAGACACCAACACACCTACTGTCTTCTGTGCTGTTCCAGGGGCAGTGTTAACACTTTTGCACCCACATGGTAGCAATGCACAGGGAAACCGAGGCACATTTAGGATTCATAAAAATGTTACAGATTATTCCCACTTTGTCACAGTTACTAGTAGTGAATATTGGTTAGTTGTTTGCAGGTGCTTATTAGCATGGTAAAAAAAAATCAAGCTTGTATTAATTATGTCCTGATAGATGTTAATAATTGTTGGGAAGGGTGCCCTTCTAGTCATTATTTTTAATGACTGCAGCATCATTAAGAAAGGTTAACTTGTTCTATATAAATCTCCCATAGTGACACAGCTACTACCTCATTAACTTTGTTCAAAGATTGCTGTAAACCAAATGTGCTATACGGTGGGTATGGTAGCAGCTTGTTTGTTTCACAAGGAAGGCTCATTTTAGTCAGAGTTGACCCTAGCTTAATTATCAAGAGGGTTTGTGAAAAGGCCGCTAAGCATTTTCTACCAATTAAAATGTTGAAACAGTGTAGAAAACTGTCATCTTCTACATGCTTTGAGCCAGGCTAATTACAAAGCTTCCATAGATGAGCGCTTCTTTTTGAAAGAAAGTATTTTCTATTTCAACAATAAGAAAGGGAGCTGATGAATAACTAAGCTTGAAGACCTTTACCATTTTGAGTGACCTAATTTGGAAAATAAGTGAAGTTCATTGCAGACATTTAGCACTTCTTATGGCATCTGATATCTTGAGTACAAATAAAACATTTGCCAGTTGAATGTAATGGTCTGTGAATTGCTGGTTTGGGGTTGTCTGAAAACAAACTCCTTTGTTGTTTGTAAAACTGTTTGGGCTTGAGGCAGGGCAACTTGATTAGATAATGATGTGAAGCTTTCTGTTTCTCTTCTGTTGTCTCATTCAGTGTGGCTAGAGTGAGACTAGCACTAGGAGTATGTCCTAGAGAGAACCGAACTGATGCTTTTCAGCCCTTTCTTTTGCTCTTATTAATTGGTTATTTAACTCCAAAGAAGATCCAGTTTCCTTCTTGCTGCAACTTTGTAATTCCTGTCTTTCAGTTAATACTACTAGTTTACCCAGTGAAAAATTATCGTGTACGTAAAAGGGGGCCAAATTAAGGTTGCACAGGCAACTTTAATTCTGGGATTTCCTTACTGCTGAGTGCTTGACTTTTTCAGCCTTAATAATGTTCTTTTAACTGAGGTAAGGGAGTGTGTGAGGGTGTAACATCTATTACAATTAAGATTTTTATTTGCACAATGTAAGGAATGTGAGCATGCAGTCTGGAATACAGAAAAAGCGGTTCTAGGATAGCAGCTATTAACTTGTTATCAAAGCAAAAGTAAAAAACGTCAAGATTATTTAAATGTTAGAAGAATGGCTGTGGGTTGTAGCCCACGAAAGCTTATGCTCTAATAAATTTGTTAGTCTCTAAGGTGCCACAAGTACTCCTGTTATTTATTCTAATGAAGGGCTGGATCATAGATGACCCGTGCTTGCTGAGGGGGGAAGGCATGACTCTGAAACAGCTCAAGTCATGCCTCCCTGGCAGCCCCTCCCCTCCTGGAAAGCAATGGCCCCTCTGTGGCCCTCCTAGCAGTTCCTCTGCCTCTCCTGGCTGAGGAGGGGGCCTGGCCATGCCATGTAACCAAGCAATGGGGGGGGGGGGGGGGGAAGGTGATGTGATCCCTCTCCCCCACCCCACCCCCACGTCACCTCTGGGCTATATCCATCAGCAGTGAAAGGAATGATGAAACCTGCCTCCTGTGGCTGCTAGACAAGAGAGGGTGAGGTCTGGGCCCTTTCTTTTCCCAGGCCTGAAGGGCTAAGGGAGGACCTCAATGGATTTGAATCATCATATCTTCTCTCTCTCCCCCCCACCACTAGCTCTGGTGCAGGAGACACTGCATCAGCACCATCTGCTGTCAGTGCAGGTCTGAAAATTGTGCAGAACATTTCCTTCTCTCCCCATACTCCTAGTCCTGTTTTTCCATCTTCATTCCCTCCCTAAAATTTAATCAAGTGTAGTCGGCTTTTAGTTAAAAGATGAATTCAGGAGGAGCTGGGATTCCTCTCAATTTGAACAAATTGGAACAAAAATGTATCAGTTATTCTGGGGGATAGACCTTTGTTGACCTATTGGTGAGGAGAGGGGTTAGGGAGCCAAAGGGTATAATTCCCTTAAAAGAAAATTTCCATTTCAGCAATTTAATGACCCTGTTTTCTTTCTTTCTTTTTTCTTTTTATTTTTTTATGTACATCTTGAAGCTTTCCTGCCATCTTTATTGCTGGCAAACAGCTTTAAATTTGGGGGGTGGGATTATAGTTAACTTTTAAATTTCCTCCATCAAAGGCTGGGCCTTGTTTCTTTTTTATAGCTGAAAATGTATATATCAAAATAGCGTGTCAGATAAGGAGCAACCCTCACCTGGCAAAGGAGAAGTCTCTCTATTCCACACAAGTCTTGGATAAAAACCTTGTTAAAATTAATGGCAGGTAGGAAATGTCCATAAAACATAGTAAGCTAAAAGAAATGAGGCTATCTTTCTGTTCCCTTGTGTTTTTATATGTTTAATTAATGGACTACAGAACCAAGCTTTTGCAACTCTGCATTAGGAAGAATAACTGAAGTCTAGTGGCTCTCCTAGTTAATTGGCTTCTTTAATGCCCTCTAGCATGTTTTATTGTGGAAATAAACCTTTGAACACTGTTTACCTGTGTAACTAAAGATAAAGGGAATAAATACAAGATTTTATTTCTTTCCATGTTAAAATATTGCAGTACAAATAGATTATCAAATTCTCATTACTTTTGTAAATGCAAAAAATCTTTAGCCCACATAAAGTATTAGCTGCTTGCTAAACAAATCAGGGGCTAAATCCTGATTTCTTGCACCAATATAATCTGCAGTGCTTGGGGTGAGAATAGAATTTGGCTCTAAAACTTCCTCAGACAAGTGCAAACATTGTTTAAAAGGCTTTAATAGACAAATTATAAAAGCCCTGAAGAGTTTGTAATGAGAAATAGTGATAGATGCTTAACTATAATGTTTCTGTGTGGGCTTACATCTTACATTTTTAAGCATTTTGGACGTTTATAAAGGCACAATTTAGGTTGACAGGTCACCTTCTTATCAGTTAATAGAATGTCATTCATCACTTATAGGAGTTTTCTTCATGTTCTGTTGATAAACCATTCTGTATTAATTTTTCCCCTCCTACAGCCTGGCTTTGTGGTATCATTTCTATCACTGTCATTAGCCTGCTCTCCTTGTTAGGCGTGATCTTGATACCCATCATTAACCAAGGGTGCTTCAAATTCCTTCTAACCTTCCTGGTTGCTCTGGCTGTTGGAACACTGAGTGGAGATGCACTACTCCATCTGTTGCCACATGTAAGTACCATTGCACTCCCACACACAGGTTTTAAAATTCCCAGAGGACTATTCAACATCAACACTGATTATTTGTTATGCTCATTGATTGTGCTGTAGATTGGGACTGTAAAGGAAATTTTAAAGCAGCATTTCTTTAAATTAATTTGACCTCTGTGTGTTTTCTTAAAAAACATGGGAGTGTTAAAACTACTGAAGTATCAAGAGTATGCTGAATTTTTCAATACACATGGTAAATGTTGTAGCTCCTATTTTTGTGTTTCCTCTTGAAACTTCTGTTTTCAGAAATTTTGAAAAGGTAATTCAGGAGGATTCTGGTTTGAAAACTCATGAGGGTGGGTCACAAGCTACCAGTTTCCAACTGAATATTTTTTGTGTGTACTTTTAGTAACAAGGATGTAAACCTGGTTTTGGATCTTTTTTGTTATAAACTGTGCCCAATCCTTATTTTGTTTGGGTTTATATACTGTAGAAAACCTAAGTATTACCAGGAAATTGCTCATAAATCCAAGGAAGATGGGGTTTTAATGAGTTGCAGGATATTGACATTTATTTGAAGGGAGAAAACGGAGGGAATATATTCTATGAACTTCTTTGGGCATAATTCTTTTGGCCTAGACTATAAAGTTCACTTATTGTTTACTTGGCATAATCCATGATATACATGTTCTAGGGATGCATGTGTTGATAAGAGTTTGGAAGTGTGTTTTGAGTTAGCGCTAAAGTTGTTGGATTGTTATTGCTGCTAACGATGCAGGAACTGTAAGGATAATCGACTTTTGTATGTTAACTGGTTATTTTTAGCTTAGTTAATGATCAGAGTCAGATTCTCATTTACAATTAGTTTGCTTCACACCTGAGTGGTACAAAGGAGCTGAAGTCTGTCCTTCTAACTGCCTGAAACCTCTCTGGGGGAATGTTTCTATTGATAGCCATTGAAGGCAGGTCTTTCAGTGAAATAGTTACTACACCTCTACCCCGATATAACACGACCCGGTATAACACGAATTCCGATATAATGCGGTAAAGCAGTGGTCCGGAGTAGCGGGGCTGCGCACTCCGGGGGATCAAAGCAAGTTTGATATAACGTGGTTTCACCTATAACGCGGTAAGATTTTTTGGCTCCCGAGGACAGCGTTATATCAGGGTAGAGGTGTATATTTGGTGGACCTTTTCTGAAGGAAAGAGACTTCATTTTTTTGAATGGGTTTTTGGTAGTATTTTTTTTTTTTAGCAGCACATCACACGTCATATGGACCTGAAGTCACTCCAGTTTACTGAAATTGCAAATTCACATTGTGGCTTTTTTTTTCTCTTTCCTAATAGTCGCAAGGAGGCCATAACCACAGTCACCACGAGGACCACGGTCATATTCACGAACACAGGCATTCTCATGGACATTCCCATGGGCATGGAACAGGAAATGAAAGCTTTCTGGAAAAATATGATGCAGTATTGAAAGGGCTCGTAGCTGTTGCCGGCATTTATCTTTTGTTCATCATTGAGCACTGTATAAGAATGTTTAAGCACTACAACAAACAAAAGGTATGTGCCAGGTTTTCTCATTCTGCATGCCGTCATTTAAGATAATACTTGGTCAAATTGCATCCTATAAAAAAAACAAAGATTTTCTTAGATAAATTCTTAAATACTCTACTTGGAAAGCACTCTTCATGGTGCGGTTTGAATGTTTTGTAAAAACTATTAGCTGTTACTCACCTATTTTCATTTTAGTTCGTAGCATGTGAAAAACTTGACTGGGCCCTTTACTATAAGGGATTGCTTTTCCAGCTGTAAATGACTCTGTTCTCGTCCACAAGATGTGGATATCTTGAATTGTCTCCTGCACATAACAGTCATAATAGACTAGCACTAGCCAAGATGATGGCTGAGGAGTGCTTAAGCAAATAAGGATCACCGCATGTTGTTCCAGTATCGGGTGATCTGCTTGCGAAAATGTGAACTGAAGTATATGGAACATTCAGATACTACAGTAATAGGGGTCAGATCTGTACCTAGGTAAATAGGCTGACTTAAGTGACAGGCTGTCTTATTTTAGGAAGAGATATTACTGACACATTCAGCTGAGGGAGCAGTACTCCTTGTAGTGTATTCAGTTAATCTGGTCATGACTTGCCTGACCATAACATGATGGTATACAAAATTATGAATAGATTTACAAGGCCTCTGAATCATTAGGAATTTCTCTCCATAATAAAATATCAAGAATTACAGACCTTACATTTAAAACTTGACTAGCACTCTTTCTGTAACGCTCTTTAGCTAAAAAGGATATGGTTTCCTCTCATAGTGCTTTTTCACATGAAAGGCATTTCTGAGAAAATATGGCAGACGGGGATGAAAGTGGAATATACTGAAGGGGTTGTGACACCACCTGCCCTGCAACCTTGGGTTCCTCACAATTCTTTGTGGCTGTAGCTTCCAACATGGGCCTCTCACAAACAGTTTGTCTATGTATAGCTACAGCCCTGGTCCAGCAATTCTGACCCCAGCAGCCTGTCAGCTGCACACCAGCCACACTCTGGCTTCCTGCAGCCTTGATCACTACCTGCAGGATGATCCCAATGTGCTCCAAGTCCTGGATTTTCCCCCAAAACATGTATTCTGCACTGCCCAGTTTTTTCCTGGACAGATATTGGAGGTCCATTGCCTGTAAGGGATCAGGGTAAAGGTTTGCTGCTTTAATTGGAGTTACCAAACAATTTAAACACAACACTGAATTAGTTTTGATTAAAGAATAAAACAAGTTTATTTAACTGCAAAGATACAGATTTTTAAGTGAGTACAGGTATAAGACATTGAAGTCAGAAATGGTTACAAGAGAAATAAAGATAAAACACTTCCTAGTAACTGAAACTTAACAAACTAGACTTGGTTCAAGGTAAAATTCTTACCACATGTTCCCAGCAACATAGCTTACCAAATTCTCAAGTCAGGATCTGCTCTCAAAGTCTTAAGGGCTGGTTTCTTTGTCGTCTGAAGTGAAAGAGAGAGAGAGAGAATATTTGGGGTGTTTTTGCCCTTCACTTTTGTAGTTCAGTAACCCCTTGAAATGGATTTTCTTGAGCATTACCCCTAGATCAAGTTCCTGCCTGCTGTGCGGACGGAGACATGGAGTCTCGTGGTGAAAGATGTTCTTCTTCGAGTGATTGCTCATGTGTATTCCACTATAGGTGTGCGTGCTCGCCACGTGCACCGGTGCCGGAAGTTTTTCCCTTAGCAGTACCCGTAGTGGGGGAGCACCACTGCGACCCCTGGAGTGGCGCCAATATATCGCGCCATAAAGGGGGCTGCGTGCTCCCCCCACCCTCAGTTCCTTCTTGCCGCCAGTGAAGGTAGTCGGAACTTGCTCCAGCCTTGGCTGCAGCGTTTATAGCCTTAGTGGTATCCAGTTTCACTGAACTTCTCTTTGCTGAACTTTCTTTCGTTAGTGCCTGGGTCAGGGCATGCCCCGTGGCCCAGGCTTCAAGTCGTGCGACTCTTGTCACAACTCTATGCCCAGAAGTGATCCACACACTGTGTCTTCACTGTCTGGGCGAGGCTCACATTAGTGAGCGTTGTAAGATTTGCCGCTCCTTCATGCCCCGGACGAAGCGTGAGCGTGAGATCCGACTCCGCGCTTTGCTAATGGAGTCGGCATTGGCCCCGGCACCGGCGCGTCGACCCGGCACCGCGTCTTCAGTGCACAGCCAGGCACCGTCATCTACTCAGCACCGCTCTCCCAGTAAGAAGCAAGGGAAGACTCAGCGGCGCCGAGAGAAGGAGAGGGGTGAGGCCAGACCCGAGTTGGGCAGCCCACGGGACAGAGACCTCCGACTCGCGCTGAGCGGAGTAGTCTTGTCCCGTCCGCGCGAGCCTCGCCTGAAGTGCGCATGCCTTCAATGCCAGAGGCAGCTCAGGCTGCGCTTGATATCCTAGCCCTTCTGGTGCTGGGAGCGCCACCTCAGTCGGGCCCCCGGTCCCGTGGGAAGCCGCCTTTGGGTGCCCATCAGCCTTCCCAGGAGGTATCGGAGGCCGAGGTACCTTCCCGGGTCAAGGTGCCGAGCAGAGCCCCACGACGCACGTCAAGTCCGCACGCCAGCTCTTTGGTGAGCGGATTCCACTCCTCCGGTCTCGGGCGCCGTAGAGGAGGTGACAAGAGGCGACGCTGTTCCTCCTCCAGCCAGTCCGAGAGGAACAGGTCTCGACGCCGTCAGCACTGGCGCTTGTACTCAAGCGCCCGCCATCACAGAGGCCATGCTCGGAGTGCGTCCCGAGAGTCCCCGGCACTGGGGCGCCGTGGCCACAGGCGCTGCAGGGAGTCCAGAGACAGCTCCTCGGACATTTACCTATCGACTTCTTCCAGGTCGAAGTCTCGGGGCAGGAGCCGTCACGATAGAGATCGCTCCAGTCGTTCCTACGGCACCGTGCGCTCCTCCAGGACTTCGGCGTCAGCGCGCAGCTGTTTCTCCCCGGGCTGCACCGCACCAGAGGAGCAACCAGCTCTGCCTGCACCCCAGGTGTTTCAGTTCCAGGCCGTTCCCTGGCAAGGACAATGGTGCCAGTTGGCACTGTGGCCTCAGTCACCTGCTCAGCCGGGACCTCGCTCCGTGGCGGGAGCCTCTCAGGGCCACCCTGCGTCGCCTCCCCGGCACCGGGATCAGGCTGCGGGCGCCGAACCCCCGGCACCGACTCCGGGACAGGACCTGGACGTCGAGCCTACGATGCCGTCAGTGGCTGAAGGGACCGCACCATCTACTTTCACGACGCCGGGCAATTCAGTTGCGGTACTGCCTCCCTCTTCTCAAGAGGACTTCAAGGCGCACCAGGAGCTGCTTAGGAGGTGGCAGCAAACCTCGAGCTCCGGGCCGAGGAGATGGAGGAGCCCTCCGACACATTGTTTAATGTCCTTGCCTCCTCGGTACCGGGGCATGTGGCCCTCCCATTCCATCAGGGGGTAGCCAACATCACCTCTGGTAGACCCCGGCCTCTCTTGGGCCCATTTCCAAGAAGGCCGAAAGGAAGTATTTCGTCCCCACAAGGGGTCACAAATACCTATACACCCACCCAGCTCCGAACTCTTTGGTGGTAGAGTCGGTCCACCACCGTGAGCGGAATGGCCAGCCCGCGCACACACCAAAGGACAAGGACACTCGGAGACTTGACACCTTTGGAAAAAAGGTTTATTCGTCTGCGAGTTTCCAGCTCAGAGTGGCCAATCACCAGGCACTGCTGAGCCGGTATGAGTTTAATCTCTGGGGATCCCTCCCCAAGTTTGAGCCCCTTCTTCAAGATAAGGACGGGAAGGAGTTCTGGGCTTTGATCGACGAGGGTGCGGCCGCGGCCAAAGCAGCTATCCAGGCGGCTTCGGATGCAGCAGACACAGCCGCTCGTTCGATGGCTTCCGCAGTCTCCATGCGACGGGCGTCGTAGCTCTCGCTCTCCGGGCTGTCCGTGGAGTCCCAGTCTATAATGCAGGACCTGCCATTCGATGGCAAAGCATTATTTGCGGACCAGAGAGATACCCATCTGCACGGGATGAAGGACTCCCGCACCACCCTGCAGACGCTAGGCCTATATGTCCCGCCCTCTAAGGACAAGCCCAGGCCTCAAACCTCTGCTCCTCCTGCTCGGGGCAGATACGAACCCCCGCCTAAGCAGCAGAGGAACAAAGGCGTCGGTCCCAACGCCAATCCCGTTCGGCCCCAAGACCCGGGCCTTCGAAGGGCAAGAGGCCAGGGAAACGGCGTTTTTGACTCGTTGAGGGGGGTCACTGGGCCTGTTGCCAGTGTATCCCCCCCAGTTAATAAAGTTGCCTTTTATCAACCGTTTATCGGCCTTCCGACTGCAATGGTCCCGTATAACGTCGGACCAATGGGTCCTCAGCACCATCTCCCAAAGGTACAAGTTGCAGTTCCTTTCAACCCCTCCCAACCATCCCGGGAGCCGGCCGGGGACCCGGACCATGCTCTCCTCCTCCGACAGGAGGCAGAGCGCCTCCTCTCCCAGGGAGCTGTGGAAAGGGTACCTCGGGAATACCAGGGCAAGGGATTTTACTCCAGGTATCTCCTCATCCCGAAGGCGAAGGGCGGGCTTCGGCCCATCCTCGACCTGTGGAATCTCAATCAGTTCCTGGTTCGTTGCAAATTCCGCATGGTGTCCCTGGCCTCTATTATTCCTTCCCTATACCAGGGGGATTGGTTTACGGCACTGGACCTCCAGGATGTGTACTTTCACATCCACATTTTTGAGGGTCACAGGCGCTTCCTCCGTTTCCTGGTAGGTCGCGACCACTTCCAGTTTACGGTCCTCCCCTTTGGCCTCTCTACTGCCCCCCGGGTATTTACAAAGTGCATGACGGTGGTGGTGGCCCACCTCAGGAGGAAAGGGCTGCAGATCTTCCTCTACCTCGACGACTGGCTGCTCAAGGGCCGGTCTCGGTCTCTGGTGCAGCAGCAGATAAACTTCCTGCTGGACACCTGCGCAGCTCTAGGCCTACTGGTAAACGAGGAGAAATCCACGTTGATCCCGGTTCAGCGCATAAGCTTCATAGGAGCACTGTTAGATTCCCGGGTGGCCGTGGCCTCCCTCCCACGGGACAGATTCGAGACGCTCAAAGCTCTCATCGCTTCGGTCACAGCCTTTCCGGTAACCATGGCACGGGTGTGCCTTCAAATCCTAGGCCACATGGCAGCATGTACCCACGTGGTGCGACATGCCAGACTCCGAATGAGGCCACTTCAGCTTTGGCTGGCCTCCCGGTATTCCCAGGGCAGGGACGGCCTGGACAAAGTCGTCACGGTGCCGCCAATGGTGGTGGCAGACCTCCAATGTTGGTCCCTCCCGAGCAACATGCTCCGGGGTATCCCCTTCCGAGAGCCCCCTCCCTCACTAGATCTAGTGTCGGATGCCTCAGACCTGGGCTGGGGAGCCCACGTGGGGGACTTCAGGACCCAGGGTATGTGGTTACCAGAGGAACTAACCCTGCACATAAACGTCAGGGAGCTCAGGGCCATACGCCTGGTGTGCGTGGCATTTTGCCAGCACATACAGAGGAAAGTGGTCAGAGTCCTCACAGACATCACGACCGCCATGTATTACATCAACAAGCAGGGGGGCACGCGTTCCTGGGCCTAATGCCAGGAAGCCCAACTCCTATGGGAGTTCTGTATAGCCCACAACATACACCTGCGTGCATTTTACCTGCCCGGCAAGAGCAACACGCTCGCGGACCATCTGAGCAGGGTGTTCTCCCAACATCACGAGTGGTCCCTGCACAAGGAGGTGGCCAGGTGGATCTTCCTACAGTGGGGTACTCCCCAGGTAGACCTGTTTGCCACCGCCCAGAATTGACTGTGTCCCTGATTCTGCTCCAGGGCGGGAGAGGGCGAGGGTGAGATCTCGGACACGTTTCTGTTCCCGTGGTCGGGGCCCCTGTTGTACACCTTCCCGCCCTTCCCCCTAATAGGCAGGGTCCTATAGAAGGTGAAGTCAGACGGGGCAAGGGTTATCCTCATAGCCCTGGATTGGGCCCGTCAGCATTGGTACGGGACCCTACTGCAACTCTCAGCGGCCCCCCCTCGCAGACCGCCGCTCCGTCCGGACCTCCTCTCCCAGGAGGAAGGTCGTCTCCTCCATCCCAACCTAGCCCAGCTCCACCTGACAGCGTGGCTGCTCCATGGTTGAATGAGGAGGAAGGCAGGTGTTCTGAGGATGTGAGATGGGTCCTGCTGGAAAGCAGGAAACCCTCCACGCGTCGAACCTACCTGGCCAAGTGGTATCGGTTCTCTATGTGGGCGAGGGATAGAGGTTTCTCTCCCTCTTCTGCGTCTATCCAGCTGGTCCTTGATTACCTCCTGTCCCTTAGGACCCAAGGGCTGACGCCCTCCTCCATCATGGTGCACCTGGCGGCCATTTTGGCTTTCCATCCCCCGGTGCAGGGCCTGTCTGTGTTTTCGCATCACATGACGTCCCGGTTTCTGAAAGGGTTAGATCGGGCATTCCCTTACGCCAGACCCCCGGTTCCGCTCTGGGACCTGAACCTAGTGCTCTCCCGCCTCACAGGGCCTCCCTTTGAGCCATTAGCCACGTGTTCGTGGTCCCACTTGTCGTGGAAGGTGGCGTTCTTAGTGGCTATCACCTCAGCCCGTCGGGTCTCGGAGCTCAGGGCCCTGACCTCTGAACCGCCGTATACGGTCTTCCATAAGGACAAGGTTCAGCTCCACCCTCACCCTGCCTTTTTGCCGAAGGTAGTCTTGGCTTTTCGTATGGACCAGGATATTTTCCTCCCGATCCTCTGTCCTAAGCCCCATTCCTCCAATGAGGAACGCCGCCTGAACATGTTAGACGTGCGCAGAGCGCTGGCCTTTTATCTGGACAGAACCAGGCCATTTAGGAAGTCCCCCCAGCTCTTTATTGCTTCGGCCGAGCGCATGAGGGGACGACAGGTTTTCACACAGCGGATCTCCTACTGGATCACCTCATGCATTCGCACCTGTTACGACCTGGCAGGGGTTCCCCCGCCTCCTATTGTGAAGGCGCATTCGACGAGAGCCCAGGTCTCATCAGCGGCCTATGTGGCTCATGTCCCTATTCAGGTCCTCTGTCCACACTTTTTCATCGCACTATGCAATCGTCCCCCAAACAAGGGATGACACTGGGTTTGGTAGGGCGGTGCTCCGCCCGGGCAACCCTTAAACTTTACATATAAACTCCTACCCGCCTCCATCAGGTATAGCTTGGAGTCACCTGTAGTGGAATACACGTGAGCAATCACTCGAAAAAGAAAGGACAGTTACCTGTTCCGTAACTGGCGTTCTTCGAGATGTGTTGCTCAGGTGTATTCCACATCCCGTCCTCCTTCCCCTCTGTCGGAGTTGTCTGGCAAGAAGTAACTGAGGATGGGGGGAGCACGCAGCCCCCTTTATGGCACGATATATTGGCACCACTCCAGGGGTCACAGCGGTGCTCCCCCACTACGGGTACTGCTAAGAGAAAAACTTCCGGCACCGGTGCACGTGGCGAGCACGCACACCTATAGTGGAATACACCTGAGCAACACATCTCGAAGAACACCAGTTACGGAACAGGTAACTGTCCTTTCCATGTTGTCTTCTAAAATGCTGATTGATCTGTTCCTGTTCCCCTTCCTTGCTAAAGAATCGCCACTTGATAGGTGATTGTCAGTAAACTTTGACACCTGGCTAGAGGCATCAGCTTGTCTTTTGTCTTTGAGAAACAGGTTTACCCCTCCCCAGACTTGTCTGGTAAACACATTTCCATCATAGTTTCATCTTATGTTCATAACTTTACATATAATGTTGCAACACACATTTCAAAATGATATTATTGACCAGCAAGTTATTAGTTTTCAAGTGATACTTCACAAGGTGTATTTTGTACAAAGATTATTACAATTGTGTATAGGCTGTGAATATAGGGTGCATGGATTTACATATATCTTCCAGTCCCAGCCTGAAGTCTTGGTCATAAAGCACACCAAACAGGAAGGAAGCAAATTTTCTTCATTAAATGCAAATTTTAAACTTGAACAAATTAAACGAATATAACAGTTCTGTATGGGAAGTGTCTCTTGGCTAATTCAACAGGCATTGATGATGTATTCTGTGTATGAATTGTGCTAATTTAGGAAATTATACATTATTTGATTATGTAGGTCTATGGTCTATAGCTGAAAATTCCCATAATCTGTATCAGTGATGATCTTCATGAATATCTGAAATTCTGTAGTTCTAAGATCCACATCAAAAGATAATCTTACTGAATATTAAAGTGATATGTATGACAAAACTTCAGTGAATCTTCCTTTCCTTTCAGTTTTGTTACAAACTAGGTACTGACAGTTATCTGTTTCAGTCTAACCAGAAGTGGTGCAAGAAAAAACAGAAGACTGAAGAATCACCAATTGGAAGGAAGCTTTCAGAACACAAACTGAATAATAGGCCAAATGCTGACTGGCTTCAGCTCAAACCCCTGGCAGGTAGACATTAATGTTGAGAATTTGTCCTTGACGTTTGAGACTCAAAGCAAAGAGCGTCACTGCATGTAACCTATGGTTTTGTATATTAGCACTTCCTCTCTGTAAATCTTTGTTAATAAGACTAGTATTACCTAATCAACTGTCCTCGTGTAAGACTGCAAGCCCCAGCTATAGTTATAGAAGCACTGAAACACTCTCTGCTATGAGAGCTTTGGTGTGTTAGATGGCTTTCCTTTCCTTTAATAGAAGATGGGAATTTGGCTTCTAAGGAAAAATAAAATATTCTTTTCACTTAATTGGCAGAGTGCTGAAACCATCCAGTAAATCTTCCCCATAATAAAAAACAAAACAATTCTTTTGTTTAACTATAGGAGCCTACAGCTTTTTGAATTGCAATACCATTGTCATTGTAAGGATCATCCCACTTAGATTAAGGTCCTTCTCTTGAAATAGTCTCAAAATAATGTGTGAGAAACTGTCCAGTAATTTTGTCTGTCTGCATAAACGGATTTAAGAAAGTGTCAAAGAACATTTAAGAGTTGCTTAACTTTGATTTTGAAATAATGGGTTATCTTCTTGGCCAGTGTGAAATAACCCTTATTATATTTATCGTTCCTGAAACCCCTCTCTCTCAGCTAGATCATTTTATCACTTCGACCTGAGTTGACACCAGCAAACTTATTGCACCTGGAACATGCTAAATACTTCCCAGCATTTGATTCACCTTTTTCATTGTTCTTTGTTGTCATTGTGGCTTCTAAGTAAAATTAGTTCTGGCACTCTTATAAAACTAATCACACTGATCTACTACGTTGTGAAACAAGCACATATAAGAAAGGTGCAGTACAAATAATTTTAAAGAGCTGCCATGTTCAGACACAGAGGTTGCTGCACTCCAGTGCTGGTTAGATTACCTGTGTGTGCGCATGCATACAGAAATAACCATGTAAAGTTTTCAGTGCACTTTGTCCTCAGTCTTTGGCCTGTAAGAGATTTTATTATTGTATTCTTGACATTTTTTTTTTCTGCTTTTAACTCTGCTAAAACATGAGCTTTGTCTAAATATGTCAGTAGCAAATGATCAGGTACAAGCTAGGTCAGGCTGAAAGTGGCTCTGTGTACTGCAGATGACTTATTGTGCAGAGCAGTTGCATTGCATTTGAGATTTCTGCATGACCTGCAAACACGCCACAGTAAAGAGAGCAAAAAAGAGAATTCTTTGTTACTCCTGCTGCATGCGGATACAATGATCTTTAGCTTGGGAAGTGTTGGAATGTTTAATAGGCTTCTATGTTTTCTTCTTGTGTTTTAGCAAAGCAGTTGAATATCTGAAAACATTGATATGCAATGGCATGCTTGCTGGTGGTTTCTTACTTAAGAATTAATGCACCGTGTCTCTTTCTCTGGCTTTAATACAGGTGCCGATGACTCAGTTGTATCTGAAGATCGACTTAATGAAACTGAACTAACTGATCTAGATGGCCAGTTGGAATCCCCTCCTAAAAACTTTCTGTCTGTAGAAGATGGAAACCACATGCACCATTCTTACAATGACGTCTCTCACTCTGTTCACGACCATGATCTTCATGATACAGAGTATGATGACAACCATGGAGAGGATAAAATAGCTAGGAAACACAACCATCACTGGCATCACAAACATTCCCATCATTCCCATGGTCACTGCCATTCTGGAAAGGACCTGAAAGATACTGGAATTGCTAATATAGCTTGGATGGTAATTATGGGAGATGGCATCCACAATTTTAGCGATGGTTTAGCAATTGGTAAGTAAATATAAGGGGTTGAGCATATTCTCTATGGCTGTACCTACCATAGGTAATTTTGGTAACATTTCCCATTGGTAAAGTTCTATGGGTGACAGTAATATCAGGAGGACTAGTACAGATGAGGCTCCAGGTGGCCACTAGCATTTTGTTTAATCTTGCGCAGAGCAGGTCTAAGAACCTTGGTGTTTAAAAATGCCAGCAGCTATAGTGCAAGCCTTGTCTATGCTAATTTCAGAAAGGGGAACTACACAAAAATGAGGAAGCTAGCTAAATGGCAATTAAAAGGTACAGTCATAAAAGTGAAATGCCTGCAAGCTGCATGGAAACTTTTTAAAACACCATAATAAAGACTGAAATTAAATGTATGGCCAAATTGAAAAAACATAGCGGATTCTTGTCAGTTTCTACACTACAGTTTCTACACTACAGTGGTACTCCCAACGATGTAAGTTGCCCATTACATTGACTTAATAACTCCACCTCTGCAAGAGGCATAGTGCTTAGGTCGATGTAGTTAGGGCAACTCAGTGCCCTGATAGCTGGGTCTGTGTGCCCCCACCCCCGCCCTGAAGCTGACCGCCTGAGCTGTCAGATGGGTGCCAGGCTCATAGCTGGAATCCCCCCCTGCCCTGGAGCTGACAGCCTGAGCTGTGAGCTCCACACAGGGCTCAGTTTCACAGCAGGGAGCCTACAAGGAATGAAATTGACATTCTTGTCAGCTTCACAGCTGCTATTGTTTCACGTTTTGTCTGTGGCTCCTGCTATCAGCCCTGAGGCCGGGGGCGCCAGCTGTGAGCCCAGTGCCACACTGACAGCCAGAGCTGGAGGGGAAATGTGAAATAATAGCAGCTGTAAAACTGACAAGAATGTCAATTTCATTCCTGGTAGGCTCCCTGCTGTGAAATTGAGCCCCATGCTGGGCTCACATCTTGGTCAGCCCGGGGGTGGGGCTCTAGCTGTAAGCCCCCTGTGGCTATCGGTGCCACACTCTGGCTCTCAGTGCCCCACAATGCTCCACTTCAGTCGGTGTAAGCGCTTCCGGTGAGAACGCGCACCACCAGCAGAAGGAAGGTAGTGTGGACGCCAATAGTTGATTTAATTGCTGTGGTGGCTGTAGGTCGACCTAACATAAGACAACCTAATTTTGTAGCATAGACAATCCTCTAGAGAGAGAAATTGGAACAGAAGTAAGCAGCTTTTGTGGCATTTTGGGTTCTGTTATAGCATCATCCATCCAGATTCACCCAGATCTTACCAGTGTCTTTGGAAGTAGAAAGTCCACTGTTCTGAATATTTCACATGTATGCTGAAAAATATTGGAATCTCTGCAAAGGGAACTCTACATTACCTATCTATTGATTGTTGTTTAACATAGCCAATAAAATTAAAATACCGTTATTTGCATCTTATTTTTCCAGGAGCAGCTTTTAGTGCCGGATTGACAGGAGGAATTAGTACATCTGTAGCAGTGTTTTGTCATGAGCTTCCCCATGAATTAGGTAATTAATTCTGTAAACGTCAAATGTGGTTGTTTTGGGTCTCTTTGACATTGAATGAAAAGCTACTATATGAAAAATATATCCATGGGTTATCACAATAGTAATGAGGGTAAACAAAATGCAATGTGAAAACCATTAGGGTGACCATTTACACCAGAAGAAACTCACATACAGAACATGATTATACTAGGCCATTTATTCAATGTGTATAATCAGAACATTAGTCTGTATTTTAGTAGGAATCTAGTGTCATCAGTATACCATCCATTCTGCATGTGAAACTGTCAGAACGCATGTTATTAGAATGTTCTTACTGAATACATTTGAGTACATTGTCGGTTGGTCACGCACTTGTGACCTTATTGTTCTGTCAGCGATAGGCATCTGAATTTCATTCAGCTAAGAGCTCATAAGGAGGAATACTGTGTTCACTACCAGTCAACCCTGTTTGATATGGGGTCTTGCAAATAAAAGAGGTGTGCTGCATCACATTGCATATGTGATATTAGAGAAAAAATTGCATAGGCAAAAAGGAAAATTTTATGAACATGACTTTTTAAGATGCAGCTATCTTGCTGCTGTTTTGGCATGTGCCCTGGTGGGTGGTGGGTATGGATTATCAGCGTCTATACAATTCATAGTAGACCAAGTATGGGAGAATATTTTGCTTCTTTGCAAATTAGGGCTTCCAGGCAGGTATATGTAACTGAAATCCATTGGCACTAAGAGAATTTTTAAAGCAATTATTCTTTAAGGCTAGCATTAGCATTGCTGTTTTACAGATGTTTTTTCACAGTTCAGTGGGTAGTGATATGTTACAATCCCACTTCTCCTTGACTATTTTCCCTTGCTGAATTACAGCTCTGCCGTTTGCAGTCTTCTCCACCCCCTAGAAGGTTTGTAACTGGAAGATCTTTTGAGGCACTATTATCTGAGGCCATGGTTTCATTTCTAAAGATTTTTAAGACTGGGGGAAAGGATAAAATGATCATACCGGGATTAAAAGAATGTTGGCAGGTTTTCTCTCTTCAAAATGATCCTTTTGTCTTTGCTCTCTGTTCTTGCTGTCTCCAGTACACCATACTTTAGTAGTAGAGGTCACTTCTAGTGTTTCAAACAAGCATATCATGAATGACTCGTCCAACTAATGTCTGTTATTACCCGGAGAGGACCTAGCTGGGGCCTGTTTGTGCCCCTCCAAGAGAGGAGTAAAGCCACAAAATACTTGTAAAGCTTTTAGAGATCCTTGGATGAAAAGCGCTATAGAAGTAAAATACAGATTTAGCCTGCCACCATTTTTCTGAGACAGATAAGAGATTATAGATGGGGTATTGCAGAAGTTTTTAGTATTGGACAACAATGCTACACACAACAGTTTAGGACAAGAAGTGAAACTGCTGGGGAATTTAAGGAATTGGAATGTATGTTATTGGAGTTAGAATTTGTTCAGGATAATGGAATTCATTTAACACCTCCACTCTTGAGAGACACAACTGTGAGATTTTACTCCACATGGTCAGGACCATGGGTTTTGCATTTCATCGGAAAGAGAGGGAGGGAACCAGTGATTTAGTGTTCTGCACTGGAGGGTCCCGGAGCAACATTAGTGGAGAACAAGAGGAGACGATCATTTTATAACACATTTCCATGTTTGGTTTGGATTTGACTGAGTCCTGTATTTTGCTGGGGTTCACTGAATGGCACTGAATCACTTGGATGGTCTAGCCAAACTCAGCCTAGGTGTAAACAGTTGGCAGTCATTTTTGTGCATTTACTTAGTTTTGTCTGTTTGCCAAATTCAGCGACAGACTCCAAAGATGACAGGTGTTCCGCTTCCTGTCCAGGAGGCTGGAGAAGTTTTGTCTAGGTGCAAGGTAATGGTTGGCTGATCTATCACTGTAGGGAGCCTCCTCTTAGGGCTGGTCCACACTAACCCCCCAGTTCAAACTAAGATACGCAACTTCAGCTACGTGAATAACGTAGCTGAAGTCGAAGTATCTTAGTTCGAACTACAATGTACTTACCGCGGGTCCACACGCGGCAGGCAGGCTCCCCCGTCGACGCCGCGTACTCCTCTCACGGAGCAGGAGTATCGGTGTCGACGGCGAGCACTTCCGGGATTGATTTACCGCCGAACCCGGAGGTAAGTATAGACGTACCCTCAGAGACCCAGTTCTGACGGAAATGGAGGGCAAAGGACCTATACTGAGTTTTAAAGGATCACTCACAATTGGTTTCAGGCAAGCTGAGAGAGTTGCAGTCAGGATATGTTGCTTCTGGTGGCGCTCACTATATGAGAGAGGAGACTTCTATATACACACTTAAAAAGGTGGGGTAAAAATTAGCAAGTACTTTTGACCTACTTTTAAAGAATAATACTGAACCATTCCAGGTATGCAGAAGTTAGTTTAAATATTTTTCTTCTAAGGCCTTGGCTACACTCGGGACACGGCAGCGCTGTGAAGCACGAGTGTAGTCACGCCGCCAGCACTACGAGAGCTCTCTCGTAGCGCTGTATGTACTCCACCTCTCCGAGGGGAATAGCTTGCAGCGCTGCAGGCTCTGATTACACTGGCTCTTCGCTGCGCCAGTGTAGCCAAGGCCTTAGTGACTTCAGTTTGCCATTTTAAGTACTTTCCAGACGTGCATGTTATTTATGACCATTACTTGACTACATTAAGGCCAGGTCTACACTACAGACGTATATTGGTATAACTATGTCGCTCAGGGGTGTGAAAAATCCACACCCCTGGGCGATGTAATTATACTCACCTAACTCCTCACGTAGACAAGCACTATCTCAATGGGAGAGCTTTTCCCATTGACATAGCTACCGCCTCTCTGGATTAACTGCACCAATGGGAGAAGCTCTCCGGTTCACATAGGAGTGTCTCCACTAAAGTACTGCAGTGGCATAGCTGCACTGGTGCAGCTGCTCCGCTGTAGTGCTGCACGTGAAGACAAGCCCAAAATTAGAAGCAGATGGATTGAATCACTTAACCAGCTGTTTTCATCCTCTTCTGCTCAGCTGTCAGTTAATTTCCGTCTGAAGAAGGCTTTTTGTGATCTATGGGCATTGGTTGAAGTGAAATTTCGCATTCTTCTTCGAGTGCTTATTCATGTCAATTCCAATCAGGTGTGCGCGTGCTGTGTGCACGGTTGTTGGAAAGATTTCCCTTAGCAGCACCTGTCGGGTTGGCCATGGAGCCCCTGGAGTGGTGCCTTTATGGCGCTCAATATATGACCCTGCCGACCCAACCCCCCTTCAGTTCCTTCTTACCACTCGTGACGGTTGTTAGAACAGCGTTCACTTGCCTTGCAAGTGCTTCCCTTAGCTTGTTCGTTAGTTCTGTAGTTTAGCATAGGTTTCAGTTCTTAGTTTAGCATAGTTTAGAGTTCTGTCAGAGATAGGCATCTGTGAATTTCATTCAACTAAGAGCTCATAAGGAGGAATACTGTGTCCACTACCAGTCAACCCTGTTTAATATGGGGTCCTGCAAATAGAAGAGGAGTTATACTTTTGGTTAAGGACCTGGGTTCCATCCTGTCCCTTTCCTTCCCTTGGCTCTGGGGCATGCCTCAGGGCCAAGGGTTTAAACCGTGTGGGATCTGCAGTAAGCCCATGCCAACGGGCGACCTCCACGATGTGTGCCTGAAGTGTCTGGGGGAAGAGCACCAAACAGACAGGTGCAAAATCTGCAGGTCCTTTCGACCCAGGATGGAAAAAAGAGCGGGACTTCTGTCTGAAACAGCTTTTGATGGAGTCTGCTCTCCGTCCTCAATCCGTCTCGGAGCACAGGATCTCGGTGCTGACCGAATCAGTATGCAGCGCTCCAGCCTCGGTGCACGATACGACACTGAGAAAAGAGTCCAGAGACCCTCTGCATGGCTCCCCGGTACCGCAGACTACCCGGTACCATTCCCATTTGCTGGTACCACACAAGTGGAAGAAAACTGACAGAGGCCGCTTACCGAGGCCAAAGGTGTGTCAGCGTCTGGGTGCATCAGCAGTGTGTCCAGGGAAGGAGCATTCAGCTCCCAAAAGGGGGACCATTGAGTCTGGCGCCCAGTGACTTCCTGGGCAGGCAGTTCCAGGTGGAGGAATTGGAGTTAAACTCCATCCCAGACACTTTCAAAGCTGCCAGGGAGTTCATAGAACTGATGGCACCGCAACCCCTGGCGGTCAGGGACTAGCCCCCTGTACCTCCACTCCCGGCACCATCTAGAGGGAAGCCGGCTATGAAGCGGCATTCTTCTTCTGCATGGCACCATTTTCCTTGGCACCGCTCGCCATCGCCCAGGCACCGGCAGGCATTTTGGGACTCCTTACACTCATCCCTGGCACCGCCCAGGCAATCCAGATCACCGCCACCACTGGAACGGCACCAATCGCCGGCACTGACAAAGTGGCACCGATTTCCAGTGCCCAGCTCTCGGCACCGATCCCCAGTGTGGGGGCATCAGCATCAATCCCCTGTGCAATACCGGTCAGCGTCGCTGTGGTCGTCCAGGTCCAGATTGGAGTCGTTGGACTTGGAGGCGGAATAATTCTACTCCTGCCACAATGAGCACCATTCCCACAGACATAGGAGCGAGGCACCTATAGCTTGGCCTCCGCACTGGCAGCCTCAGATGCAGTGGCCCTTTTGGACCCCCTGGGCTTATCACCAGGCCCGGGTTTCATTCTCCAGGGGCTCTCGTTTGGTCATCTCCGAAACCAGAGCACCCCAACCACCTAGTGATCGCCCGGCCCCTAAGGGATCGGAGACAGTTACTTCCCATGAGCAGGCAGGGCCCAGATATCGAACAGGAGGAGGCGAGAGAACTTGAGGGACAAGAGGACCCCGTGCCATGCCTAGCCTCCTCATCCTCGTCCCCTGACGCAGTGGCAGAGGCCCCGGCTTCTGGACCTCCACCGATAGAGAATAGGGCACACTAGGACCTACTACGCAGATCGCCCGCAACATGGGGTTGCAGGCGGAGGAGGTTATCGAACCTGA